CAGGTTTTGACCCAAGCTCCCATTGGCACCAGGCAGAGGATCTCTGTCCTTGGAAGCGTTTGAGTTTGCATTCGGTGTCGTGTTCAGGTCATCTCTGAGGAAACTAGGACCTGAACCGACAACTGGTGTTGCAAAGTTCAGCGGACTTGGTAGTGTGTTACTGTCACCTCCCCGGAAGTTCCAATCGGGATAGAAGCTACTTGGGCTCGGAAGGAGTTCATTTGTCAAGAAACGTGATGGCAAGGCAGAGACAGGAGTATCACCATTCACATTCTGCTGAGGAGGCGGCCGGGCAAAAGGATTTGGCGGACCAGTAGCACCTGCGGACAATATTGCTGACGCAGACGGAGAGGGAGGAGGAAGCACAAGTGACGACTGAGAGTTGTGGCGTTGAGGCGCCTGCGTTGTGGTTTCTGTGGCGACCCGCGGCGAGTTTGACTCTGCCGTTCGTGCGCTACCGCCGCCTTCAGATCCGCCATCGGGAATCTGCACCGTTAAGCGAGGGCCACGAGGTCGAGCTCCTCCGGGACCGCCGGCCTTCGCACTGTTAGAACGCGAAGGCGGAGTCAAAGTGGTTTCTGGTATTGACGACAGCGACACCGTTCGAGACTTCTCATCGGTCTGAGTACTGGCACGCTGTGGCAAATGGGGTGATGATTTGGGCCCATCCGCGGCCCGGTTCAGTGCAGCCACATCAACCGATTGTGAACGGTTGGCGGCGTTTGCAGCATTAGCAGCAGCAGCGGCAGCAGCAGACTCTGATTTGTTCGACTCGGACGTAAAAGATGCTAGATGCTGGGACAAGATAGACCGGTTCTCTTCGATGGGAGTGAAGATACTGTGAGATTTTCTTTGAGGTAGTTTCTTGATGGCACTGTCCGTGTTCAGTAATGGCGGCTGAGGGCGTTCTTGTGGCTCCGTCTTGGGTTCCACGGGAGGTGGTGGCGGAGGATCATGAAGTCGACGTTCAGGCTGGGGCGGCGGAGGTGACATTTGTGACATGTTCGGGGGAAGCTGTTGTTGAGGCGGTTGAGGCGATGGCGTTGGACGAACAGGAGCTTGGATTGGTTGCGACGGCGGTTGCGAAGTGTAAGCGGGAGGCATCGGAGAGGGCATCGGGGACCTGCGGTCATCCATGTACGGTCCTGGTTGCTGCATGTGACTAGGCTGTTGATGATAAGCATATTGAGGATGAGGACCAGGGCCATGTTGAGGTATTAGACCGGGAGGATGAGGCGAGTTGTAGATAGGCGGATTGGGCATATAGTTCATTCCGGGATGCGGAGGGCCGGGCGGAGGTGGAGGCTGGACCATGCTGGGACCCATGCGGCGCATATCCGTTCGAGATGCCGGCCGTGAGCCGATCGATGGTTGCGGAGTATGTTGTCGCTGGATAGGATGACCAGGATGCGCTTGGAATGGGCCGCCATTGCCAATAGGTGGTGATGCTGAAGGTGTATGATGTCGAATCTGTGGGAAAGGAGGTTGATGTTGTCCGTAAGCATGAGGAGGCATCATCTGGTTCTCGACAACTTCAGGACCATGGGGAGGGGTGCCGTCGTTCTCCTCATCCTCGTCGTCATCGTTGCCGCCGTTGAAGTCGGAAGGACCTTTGTGTTCACTGGGACCACCGTGCTAATTATCTATTAGCACAAAATACAGCGCGTCGTAGTCGCAACCTGTGTTCAGAGGCGTTGCGACTGTCTCAAGAAGTGGGACTCACATATTGATATCGGTGGATAAGCTCTCGCATATCCGTTGATGAATATTCGTAAAGCTTCTTATTGTTGCCGAAAATGAAGACGGCGACATCGACGGAGCAGAGAACGGAAAGCTCATGAGCCTTCTTGAAAAGACCGCCCTTGCGCTTCAAGAAGGTGCTTTGTGCGCCAGTTAGTCGCGAACTTGAAGACCCCAAGGTCTGGTGATTTGAGGCGGGTTTACTTACACAGAGCGATTCCTATCATCTTTGATGGCCTTGATCTCAATCTTTCTTCGTCCCATGTTGAACGGTTGTGCAGTTCAAGTTGGAGAAATGTGTCGCGTTTCCACGCGGGGAAGCTCAACGGTCGCGACCAAGGAGGTATGGAAGATGCCTGAGACCTTGGTAGTGGAGCAGGGCGGAATTGGAACTGGGTCGCGCAGATCGTCGCAAAGAAAAGGAGTCGACAATTTGACGCGGAGAAAGTCGAGCCGCTGTGTTATGGTCAAGTGAAGTTAAGTCAAGTTGAAACGGTTGTAGTCGTGATCGTAAGCGAGAACAAAGAATAGTTGAGCGGCGTGGTAAAGTGGATGCTACCAAAGAACGCTTGAGGAAACGGCGAGATAAACCGAAAAAGTCGATGGATATAGCCGAGAGAAGAGGAGCAGGTTGCGTGAGATGACGGAAGCGGCTGTCGCGGTGGCCGTGGAAGGTTATTTAAGAGGGAAAAAAAGAGTGGGAGCGGGAGAGGATTTGATGAGGGAAGCGAAGGTGGTTTGGCTTGCTCTGTTCTGCTCTGCTTTGCTTGGAGCTGGGACAAGCCGAAGTAGAAGTAATGGAACCTTTCAGTCAGTCGAAGGACCCCCAGGTCGTTGGCTGCCTTTGTAGCTTAGTGGCCGGCAGCTGGTGGAGGGGTACTTGGTGCAGTAGCGCGCCGACGGTATCTCTCTTTAAGCTTGGCCTTTGGTGGTACCTCTTTTTTAGTCCCGAGGGGAGCGGGATAGAAGAGGGTGCTTGTACAGAGTGAGGCAGAGGATGAGTGACGCAGGCATGCGAGCCGCGTATATCATCAGATGTGATGCGCAGATGAAATTTGAGTTCACGAGAGCCGTTGCGACAAGGAGACTAGGTTTAGATGAGATCTGCCCTCGAGACCGTTGCGCGACGCGACGCGATAGCGATAGAAAAGTAAGATTTGAGCTGAGCGATCAAGAGAGGGCTTGGGAGAGATTTCCTGGCGCCTGCGCTTGCGCTTGAGAAAGGGGGACAAGAAGTGGGAAAAAATGGCACAAACGAGCGACCGTTAAGTTGAAGGTTTTGGGATCGATAAGACGTCGATGGGGCTGAATCTGGCGTCTGTGGTTGGGATGGGAATAGATGGATGGCTTCTAATAATAGACGGATCGTGTTCACTTTCACTCGTGCGTGCGGGTGCGGGATGGAGAAAGCGACGGGAGGGAAAAAAAGAAGGCAGCATGGAACCCGCACGAAAAACCTCCTTGCTTAGCTAAGGCGAGTATGATTGGATCAAGGTCAGACGGGGCTCACCGTCATGGTGGGTTTTAGTGGAGCAGGACCTGGACTACGGCACTCGAAGCCCTGGAACCGTCCCCTAAAGAGGCGCCAACGTTCAGGGAGACAGACCAGGACGGGACGGGACAGCGGAATGGAACTTGGACACTCAGTGGAGGTCCAACCACCGACTTTTAGAAATAACATCATTGACTTGACGTTTGTCGCACCACGTTGCTTCCAATTCTACCTAGGGTCTCTTATCTTTTAGTTACAGCGCAGTAGAAGTGTATCAGGTATAATATAGCCACGGCTCTTGGCAGAAGAGAAAGGTCTCAACTCCAAGTCTCTTCTCGAACAACTAAGAAGCTCTCACTTCAACCATCAACCTCTCAACACAGCTCTTATCGTCTTGAAACGACAAAGCCCAGGCCATATCCTGGTTTGAGTCAACGGAAACAACACATCAACTAGAGCAAACGAGGCTAAAGCAACTCTTCCGGATATCGCTTCCTGTGTTTCATGCATCTTGACAGACAGGCTAGGGGAGGAAAGAAAACTCAGGACCTTAATCCTAAATGACAAAAGGACTTAGGGACTTTACATAAGTTTAGGGTATCTTTTGCTGAGTTTATTTTGACACCTCCCATCAAGGCCCGGTGTTTTCTTGCCCCCCGAGGACAGGAAAGGAAGCTGAGCCTCGTTTGTTCCCACCCATTCCGCTGCAACAGCTTTCGTATTCCCACCACGTTTTTTTTGGCTGCTGCGTCTCTTAGCTCGAGGTTTGCCCTTGCGGCGATGATCATGGTCTGTTCTCCCCCCACGAGTGGCTCTAAGCTCTGAGCTCTGTCTTCTCGATCGACACTAACCATGAATCTAAGGAGTTGAGTCAGTATAGATAGACTCGTTGGACACGTCCGTGAAGCTACTGACATCGGTAAAGCTATAGCTTATCTCCTCTAACTCCCCGTCCCCATCCCCCTCATGACATATGCCAGAGACCCTAGTTCCCAACCGTAATTTTCCAGCTTCTAAAAATACAATTATGCATAGTAGCCTCACACCCGGGACCAGGTCATGCATCAACCATGCGGGCCAATTAGCCCAGCTCGTCAGGAGATTAACCCAGTTTATCAGTGGAGACACTATAATGGGGGCTAAATGTGCATATCGACATTTGCCCGCTTCTGAGACGTGAGAGGTCAACTGCACCACCAACAACTCATCACCTACGTATTTTAGACATCTTCACCGCATGCGAATCCATGGATACTCGGATCACTTCTTGTCACATCATTGTCAAGGGTGCTAGTTGCAGAGTTAGTAGACTCTCCCTACCTCTCCTCGTCTAGGGTTCTCTGGCAATGGCTATCCACCGTGTCAAGCGTACGTAGCATCATGAAGTTCGGCGAACAAACAGGAACAAAGTTAATGTTTCAAATGATGTTATTAATAGCATGTTGTCAGAAGAACTGTCAAACGCAGTCTAGGTAAATGCAATATCTTTCCTGTTGCCATGCCAGCCTTTTCCGTGAAGCAACAATGATCCCAAACTCCATTTCAATGCCACCCGCCTCTGGTTTCGTGGGGCGTACGAGATTTTCCTTAATGTACAACTCGATTCCCTCCCCGGAGCCTTTTGAAGAAACGTAAAACCAAGAATATTAGAACAGTCACTTTCCTTCATGCTGACAATGAAGCCATATCAGCTATCCATTCCCAAAAGTCGACGTCGTAGTTTTGGCTGATCGAGATCAAGCTCGCACATAAAAGCAGTAATCGGTTTCTAACTGGGGGATCCAGCAGCGCCTCCTGGAGCATTGTAGTTACCAAATCCTCCATGCTCAGCAGCGCCATTATCCGCCTTCATCGTGCCGTTAAGCAGTGGACATAACCTTTGAGCAATAAGTTAGTAAAGAGTGTTGAAAAGACGTGTCAATCACAAAAGAAATGCTCAATGCGATGTGGTGGTCGTTGCACGAATTGGTCTTCTCAACGCCATGCACCTCCAGAGCGCCACTTGGGCACCTTCCAGGCATTGCGGATGCGTTCAGCTTCACGTCTCGCACGCGCAATCTCTTCCTCGAAGGCTCTTCGCTCTCGGATGCGGCGCTGGCGTTCGTCTTTGACTCTCTTCTTCTCAGCCTTTTCTCTGGCCTTAGCGGCTCGATGCTGTTGAGCTTGCCGGGCTTTGGCTTCACGCTCTTCTTGCTGCCGCTTGGCCTCCGCATCTCGCAGCTTGCGCTCTGCTTCTTTCTTTGCCGCTCGCCGCTCCCGTTGTAGTTGAAGAGCGATTGCCTTGTCCTCGCGAGCCTTTTCTTCAGCACGCTTTTTGGCATCTCGGGCCTTTCCTTTGTCGCATTGTTCTATGGCCAGTTGCAATCGGGACTTGCGCGAGCGACTGCGCTTCGCGTTGTCGACCTCTAGAGGCGTACACCAATTGAACGACATAGGGGGAGGGGGAGAAACAAAGGGAAGTGATGATGGAGAATGGGGGCTCATACTTCTTGTTTGTCTTGATGTGACCAACTTGGCCACAATTGGCACACTTGCGGGTTGTTCCAGTTGGGACTTTATCGCCATTGACACTGGGTGACCCGGCATCTCCTGTGCTGGCCTTTTGGTGGAGCTCTTTTTGTTGCTCCCGAGCCTGTCGTCGAGCTTTGTTCTTCTCGAGTCGTTCGAGCTCCTTCTTGATTCTGTGCTACTGTTAGCATCAATTACATATAACGTCAAGACTCGAGAAGACATACCTAATGCCTGCAAGACGGTCATGGTCGGCATTGCCTGTAGGACGGGAGCTGTAGATGCTGTTGAAAGATACACGTAAGCCGGTGCTCTAAACTCCAACCCAGCAATGTCATTTCTTGAGCCAGGGGTGCCGACTCCGTAAGTTCGTCGACGTTTTCTTGTCACGACTCCCCTGCTCTGTGATTGCTGAACTGCCTGGCGTGAGTTGTTGGGTGGGTGCACGTACTCTCTCATCTCAAGATCCGCCTCTGTTCGCCGTTTCATATACTGCGAAATCACAACCGGATCGTGAACGACTTCGACTCGGTCTTGCGTACTGCCATCGGGCATTCGGATCTCTCGGGTTATGCGAATAGCGCGTCGTTGCTGTCGACTTGCCGAAGTCAAACCACTAATTTGGCTAGTACCGTCGTCGAACTGGGCTGGAGTCATGGCTGACTGAACGTTGAATCTGTCATCTTCGTCTTCTGTTACTGCAACATCTTTGTCGTCATGCTCTTGACCATCTGAAAGTGTAGACTTTTGCTTCTCCCAAATTTCTCGAATACCTTCCTCGTACATTGCTTGCTGCTTTTTGACATTATAGGCGTGGCCACCATTAGCTCGCTTTTCACGCTCCATAGCATCTGCAGATGTAGCAAGCGGTCCCTGAACTGCCTCGATATATCCGCCCTTCATGGAGGTTCGAATGAAGGAGAAGCCAAGACCATGGCCCGTTGGGTCTCCTTCACCATGAAGTTGAAGCATGGCCTTTTGGGCGCATGCGTCGATGAAAGCCTTGGTTGTCTTCCATGGGGCCATCTTGTCCGCGAGAGTTTCTTCTTGCTTCTCTTGCTGCTTTTTGGCGCCCTTGGTAATCTTGCTGCCTTCATCCTCGACATCATCATCGTCCCCATCTGCATCGTTGTTCTGAACATCTTCCTCGAGGGAAGCATTTCGAGGGTCGTATCCGGCATCCTCAAGCTCCTTGATACCAAGTTGCATAGCATCGAGTAGGCAAACCTCTTCTGGCTTAATCATGGAACGAATCGTACTCTCATCAGGCAGTATTTCGCCAGGTTTCAGTCGCCACATACCCTTCTCGCCGCTTTCCCTGTCGTACTGTAGGAATTCTTTGAGCTTCTGACGATTTTGAGTGTCGGTGGAGTCGGCAATATGCTTGGTGATGTCGGACAGTTGACAGTTGTCGGTATCACTATGTCTTATCATGCGAAATGCGAGCATCTTCATTCTGTTCTTTGAGGCATTCGTGACCTTGCGACTGTGTGGTCCTGGAACCTCGACTGAAGGGAATTGCTGACCGACGACATAAAGATGATCGATCTTGTGCAGGAACCACCTCGAACCATGTTCACCAGTAGTGCTGCGCACAACCAAGAAGTCACTACCTCTTGGGTTATGCTTGAAGACGGGAGCTCGGTACATCTCGTTGTGCAACGTTGGCACAGTCTCACCGGGGTCAACAGTACCGAAAAGGGAGAAGGGGGATCGATCTTCAGGAAGAAGCATGCGATACTCTCCAAGTTCTTGTTTCGGCAGTTGCTCATCTTCGTTGGTGTCTTTCCGGCGATAGTAGTTGATCAAGCGGTTGCCCATACCGAAGCTGCTGAGCACTCGTGGACGTTGCTCACAGTACTCGTAAAGAACAGCCGTTGAGTTGTCGTTAATACTCAAATCCTTGGACTTGAGGAAGACTTCATGCGCTTTGCCCTTCATTTGCTTTCGCTTCTGGTGTGCCGGCTTATCAAACTTGATGATATGACCAGCAAATTTCTTGTACCTGAAACGAGGGCGATGATACTCATCTGTCGTACCACCGAGCTTAACTTTGTAGTACGGCCATGAGAGCTTGATAGCGGGCATGCTGTGCTCGACAGAAATGTTGCCGAGTGTAGCGCGGACCTTGCTTTGATGGTTTTCCTTCAAAGCCTCGTACGCCTCGTCATTCGAGATGTTGAACCGGTTGGAGACATCGCGGCCGAGGTTGCCGTTTGCCATGCGCTTCAGCTTGTTATCTGTGCGAGGTCGCTTTGCATTCCGCTGAGTTTCCTGAGTTTCGATAAGGAGGTAAGGATCGCTCATATCCAGTTGCACCCTCTTGGCACCTCTGCGGGTGGCGTCTTCGAAGTTGTCGAAGGAGGGTGCAGCGTATCGGGGGATCTCTGGTAGGCCAAGTTTGACTGTCTTCCGTTTCTTTGGTCGTGATGGTCCATCATCGCCAAGGTCCATCAGGAACTCGGCATCCCATTCATCGTCCTGCTCCTCAAACACGCGCTTCCGTGCTTGCTGTTCCTGCTGCTCGGCGGCTTGTCGGGCCTTGAAATCAGCTTCGATAGCCTCGATGCTGGCGCCCCAATCTTCGCAGGCAAGCTCAATATCACGTAGGGTGAATCCAGCAACCGTTTCGGAATCGGACTCTTGATCGAGATCGAACTGGACATTATCTTGGGCTTGATCTTCGTGATCCATGCCACAGTACACTAAACCTCTCTCCTCGCCCTGCCTAGGTTTGCGGGTGACGGTTGCAGTGCCTGGGATACGGAACAGCTTCTCTTGATCGGGAGCGAGTTCGAGTGTAAGCTTGCTGGTAACGAGCTGCTTGGGCTTTTTGACGGGTTTCTTTTCCTTCCATGTGGCCTTCTTGGCTGGTAGGAGTTCGCTCCATGTCAAGATGTGCCCCTTCTTGAAAGCAGGCCATGTAGCTTTTAGGAGGTCCTCGACGGTTTCAGCGGGTGCGGGGATGTCATGATCCTGATTATCGAGATGTGGTTCGGGGTCAAAGTTGATGCCTGGAAAGCTTAGACTCGCATCGAGAGGTTGGGTGTCGTCGGTAGTATCGGCATCGCGAATGTGAGGTGCTGGGGAAGAGGGACCTAGAATTGGATCTGGAGAAGAAGGCCCCTCTCCAAAGAGATCATCTGGATCATGACTGGTTCCGCCATCGTCCGTGAGGCCAGGCATCTCCATAGAGACACCAGCGCTGGGCTCCTCCTCGTCTGGTAAATCATCGTCACTGATATCTTCGTAATCCTCTGCATCGTCCGCCTTGCCTGACTGATCGAATGCGACATTGTCGAGAACGATACCGCCTCCGTTGTTTTGCGAATCTCCCAGTAGTTTCGCGATTTCTCGATCGTCGGCGGCATCCTGGGCCTTCCAGGCGTTCTCGTCAAAGGACGAGAAATCGTTCTCCTCAGCCATGATCGCGGTGTTGCAATCGTGAAATCAGATCACTAAGAGGCCGCGGAAGTGTCGTTATTCTTATATCATAATTTTATCGCGTCGCTGGTGATCGGCCGTCGCTCGGCGAGTCGCGGCTGTCGTCTGAGGATTGAAGGGAAGAAATTCGTGTTTGCTCTGAGCTGAGTTGTTCACGGTTGCGTTGAAAGATGCCCGGGAGCCTGAGAATGAGCGCGGAGTCAGCCAATCAACGTCAAGATAGGATGAAGTGCTGAAAGGCCAGTGCTTGGATTTCGAGGTGGGGCGGCATTGAGTGGCAGCAGGTCCCCACTTCAACATTATTGTCGCGACAAGGAACCATTAAAGTGTGAATGTCAATAGAAACTCACCTTCATTGGAAAGCTACACTACAAGCCTCACAGCCGGAACTTTCCTGGCCATAAAATTTCTTGATGGGCACCTCGCTTTTGAGTTGTTGAGGATAAAGTTAAGCTGAAACCTGGGGCTCTGGTCAGGATTATTCTGGTCAATTAGTATTGGACTTACTGCATACAAAGGAATCTCGAAAGAGCAAAATATGTTTGTAATAAGATGAAATAGAATCTGGAAAATAGATACACCAGTGGCTGATTTTGCGTTGATACGATGTTGAAAGAATAAAGTTGGGTAGAAGCAAAGTCGCGAATTTATAGAATGAACGGAGGAGAGTGAATCACTCACTACCTGCAGCTCATAACTGGAATCTTCCAGACCACGAAATTAATGTATGAAGCGAGAAAAAGAAAATCTACCTACTGGTATTTATGAAATAAATCGGGTGTCATGGAGTCTAAACAGAGAGTAGATTTAGAGCGTAGCCAAGGTAGCTCATGAGTGTGCTCAATGCTGGGAGGGTCATGGCCATAAGCTCAACTCATCAATAGACAAGGCATTAAATTATAATTCAGAGACCCTAACTTACTCTTAAAGGTAATTAATAACAGGATATGTAAAGTTCTATATGCCAGCTGCGGGTTAAGGATAGACGCAAAGTTGGAACGTCATTCTTGTCAGCCGATATCGCATACCATTATCAAGCGCAAGGGCATATAGACATTAACAGACGATCTATCGCCTTACTTCTCTGTTTTAAAGAACAGAGGAGCCATGCGTGAGATAGAAGAAGATTAGAGCCTTCTAATAAAGCATATCGTGCAGGATTTGCATGTGGTCCAACTCCCCATGGATAGCGGCGCCTCGTCTTGAGCTAGCAGGTACAAGCAGCGCTTGACATTAAAACACAGTCATTGCTTTATACTTTTATTTTGGAAGTTAAGGAAAACAACCTCCATTAGAAATGCGAGTTCGCTTACTGCATAGCGTACTCGAGGATGGTCGCATTCAGCTCATGGGAAATGATTAGCAACTGGCCGGGCTAATAGCGAAGCTACATCCTGAAGATACTACAGATTTCCTACCCAAGTCTCGGAAGTCTTTGTGACGAAAGAAAATGAGCCGAATATGAGGTTCCTAATCCCACATGTCATAGATGAAACCGGCCATTGCTCCAGGTTTACCCACCTCTTGCGATCCCGGACAGCCGAAACACCACTTTGACACTTCCCGATGTGAAGTGTTGCATCCATTGCCGATGCCACAATCTATTGGAGGGAGCCTTGCAGAGCAAGCAAGATTTTGACATTCAATGATCATGGCCTAATCTAAAGACCTACCAAGCATGTACTAAAATTGCTTGAGTCTATCCTGCACTTAGGACGACCTGTTTCTTCTTGGGGATATAAGTTATCTTACCTCCCCCGTTGGATTAAAGGTTATCAAAATATGGTTTGCATAGGGTATGTGAGTGTTTAATTACTGTTGAGCATGATAGAGAGCGTCGTAGAGTCTGGCGGTCGTCATAGAGAATTCATCGACGAGGTACAAAGGAGGCAGGCGGGCTACTACTCGGTCAATGCTGTGGAGAAACACCTGTAGATTCTCGAATGATACTAGATGCTCTAGTGTCAAGACGCTCTAGATAGCAAAACAAGAATAAGAACTCTGGTAAAGGCGTTGTGATTGAGCAAGCTGCTACTGCGCCCGCTATCTCAACAACTCCCTTCAATCCGGTTAAGCGTATATGAACTCACAGAACCTGCATATAAACGCCATGAGCTGTCATTGTAATTTCCAAATCACAAACTCCAAATGCCCCAACTTCGCTTGCTTCAAATGATCCCCAAACCACGTCTCAGTTCGGTCAGACACAGCGCTCATACGAAAACAAGTTTCCATTGCGAAATATACCCTCCATAATACACGATCATCACAAAGATAAACCCTCTATAATACCAGAATTCGCAACATGATTCGATGGGTAATCCCAAATGACGCAAAAACTCGGCGGATTCCTGATTGGGGAGTATCATGACAGGGCAGCATTGCATAGAACAAATCCTACGCAACATAAGCACAATTTTTTTTTGGCCCCCAATGGTTTATCTCAACGACGACCGAGTTTAGAAACACCAGTCTCTAAATCGTGGCACCATAGGTGAATCGAGAGCAACTGAGTTGGACAGCGATGTAAGCTTGCGCAGGGATGCTGTGAGGAGATGAAGTCTGCCTTGACTATTTTCCTACATTAACGTTAATGCTGTGGACGTCACACTGAGGTATGATGAGGTAGTCATGAATGATGCACCATTGATGGAGACGATACTGAAATAAGGATACAGTGTATTTCTAACAAGTTCCGTTCGTCGCGTAATGTATGACGAATACTGAATGCTTCAATAACAATAATAAGTACAAGAATGATGAAGTCAATAATGCCACTCTAGCAGCAGAGGAATCTTCCCAGTTGGGTATTAACGCCATCCATAACACCGTGAAACCCATGAACTCATTAAACATCTGCGCGGGTTGCCTAGCGACGCCTGAAATAGCCTATCGCCCCCTTGACAAACATGGTCAAGATGACCAGCGCCTAGATGTTCAAGATCAATGCCATTATGAAGCCCGCTATAGCCCAAACACCCACTCGATCACTAAGCTGTGGCTCGAAGTGCAATCCTCGTCTTGACAGTGCTCCATTCTCTGATGCATCCTCATCAGGGAGGGCCGTGTCGTTGGGCAGAGTTCCGTTGATGAGGATTGTCATTGTGCCGTTGACCTCTGCAACATTGACGATGGACTTGTTAAGTGCGTCGTAGCTTCCGTTTCCGATGAGTTCGTCGAAGTATTGGGTGCTGTTGTTGTCATCACACGCGCAATACTCATATCGCGAGCATCCACAGAGGACATCGCGTTCTTCGTCCTCATCGCTGGTGTCGTTGTGATAATGGTAGGGATGCGAGTAAGGGTACATGTATGCACCGTAGAGCCAAAGGCCAGGCCAGAATGCCAGAGCAGCACCGCCTAGAGCGAAGGGCGCAATTCTTCCGGGACTTGAGACACCGGATTTGTAAGGTTTTGATGAGCCACCGGGGTAGTATCGACCGCCTGCGAAGCTGGGCTGAGGACCGACGCCGCGAGAACCGCCGCCGCTGGAGCTGCGGGAGCCACCGCTGCCTGATGAACCTGGACGATATGATGAGCCTTTTGAACCACTACTGCTACTGCTGCTTCCACGACTGCTGCCGCTTCCACTGCTTCCACGGGAACTCCCACCTCTGCTGCCACTGCCAGATGATCCTTTTGAACCTCCGCCGCTGGAACCTCCGCGTCCTCCACCACCACCGCCGCCACGGCGCTTGTAAAGCTCGTGCTCATAAACGGGGGGTACCCCAGACTCGGGGCGCTCTATGTCAATGCGCTTTATGCGGCGGGGTGCATCGATGGCCGATGCGACCGTTGATGTGACGAGTGTGAATAGCACGACTGCGAAGTCTGGTCTCATTGTGGGCCAAGCTGTCTTGGTATGACGAAAGGATGCAGGTGGGTATAGGCAAGATGAAACAAAGAAGTGTTGATGGCGGATTGGAAACCAGAGCCAAATGAAAGTCCAAATGATTTCGGATTAGAAGATGTCAAACTGACGATGAAACCAAAAAAGTCGTGAGTTTGTGTTTTGGGGATGTAAGTTGATGGAAGAATGGAAGAGTATGAAGTGGGCAGCTCCAAGGTTTAATACCCGAAATCCGAATTCAGGAAGGGTAGGTAAGACTGAATTGATGACGGGGGTAATTGCAAGGATCCACAAGGCGTGGTTTCTCTTCTAGGTTCGGAGGCTATGACGGAGGCAACAACGGACAGAAGATCACAGGTTGACCTTCTATGATGAGGTGAAAGAGGCGAATGAGGTAAATAGAAATGATGATGTCGCTCTTTCCAGAAAGATTGGGGGCGACGATCGACCGCTAAACAGCAAGAACAACCGTGTGTCTTGGCTGAGCTGTGGATGAGGTCACTGAGCGACCGGTTTTGGTAGCTCCTTCAAGAGGATGACTGACAGATTGAGAAGAAGGAAATTGCCAAGGCAGGACGACTTGTGTTCTTTATATTCCGGTCTAAGGAGGTGATTCACCGTAGAGAGCGGAAAGAACACTGGTCTTTGGCGTTTTCTTAGCTCTGATGAGCTGAAAAGAAGCCAATCTCTTGAAGCAAACTGAGTTAGCTCCAGCCAAAAAAGTGCTTTGACTTTTGATGTTTTTGGCGGAGACAAACAGCAGCCCTACCAAAGTGGCTTAGCCAGAGGAACCATTCACAGCGGTGTAATTACGTTGTAGCGTGTTTGTGGTGGTTTGCTGCATTACAGAGGCACGCATCAAGAGACAAAGAAATGGAATGTATGTAGGTCTGAATGCCTTGGCTCAGCCTTAATCCGAACACAAGCTTCATTTAGCGAAACAGCAAATCTCTCCAATGTTGATGCTGGTCAATAATTTGTTGGGTGCCGTGGTAATGTCACTACCAATTGACCACTGTTTCAAGGATGAATTGAGCCGATGATCGTGGGTCTGTGACATAAAAGACCCTGGAGTTGGCATGGGCGTATAAGCTTGTCGGGGTTAAGCTTGCAGCGCCGCAACATGCAGGCAATTGCATTTCTAATTGGTGTAGATCCTTGTCTAGTGTGGATCAAGGCTGTCACTGAGGCAGACTTACTTGAGCCATCCGAACGAGACATCTCGCTACGACAACCCAATACGCCAAAAGTCCGCTTGTGACTGTCAAAGCTTTCGTTTAAATAAAAGCTTAGAAGATGTGTTCATTGCTGGATGGATCTTTCAATAGAGACGTGGCTGAAGCTGAGTCGCGAATTCATCTAGGTCTGATTTAATCGTATAGAGAGAGTGTGGACAATTGACAGACACGGAGACGGAATCCCGCAGAGGAATAAACTTCAGATGCGGCGCTGCATATTGATCACCACGTGGTCCAACACGATTTGGAAGTCCCCGATCTGTATGCCTTAACCTTACAATCTTGGCTGCCTTAACAAACGTTCCATATTTCCAACGAGACCTTCCTCTCTAGTGTGTTATCTGATGCATTTCCGACATAGCCACCGCGCCCCCGCATGATGCTAGAGTGACAGTCTGTCACATGAGGCTGTGCAGTGTGCAATTGTTATTGCTTGCAGCATTCTAGAAGCATTGGATGGAAAAATTGGCGGCCTGAATTTTAGCATTCAGCCAAGATCAGGCACCCGTGCTTGCGCCCAGGACTTGGCGCACTAGAGTTTTCAGTGCATCTCCGATGGCGGGGACTCGGCGGATATAAACATCACGAGTTGTCGCTCAGTGGCGATGGATGGTTGGATGATCACCTGGTTTCTGGGGACGAATTGATAAACCCTCGGGGTTACCGAGAAGAACTGAGGTAAGTGTAAACATTTGGGAGGCAGCCGTCAAGCTAGCCTTTCAATTCTTCTCCGTGCCAGGGCTCATCTGTCCATACTTCTGAACGAATTCATGAAAGACAGCCGTGTCATAACATCCAATTTCCTGAAGATAAGCCGAATCCTTTGCTTCGCCAGATTGGATGACCTCAATGGTCCGCCTGGACAAAGCCACGACTTCGGCAGTATGTTTCTTTGTCCCAAGCCACTTCCTCTCATCCTTCGGGATGCGTTGGTAAGCGTCCATCCAAAGAGAGTCCCATCTATCCAGTGCGCGGAGCAACATTTTGGAGTGGCCGCGTGATACTGCTGACGTACGATAATGAAATATTTGGTGCTCAAGACCTGGAAAACATTAGTATTTGTGTCGTTTATTGACTGTCCTGGAGTGTGACGTACCTGACGAGAGATAAAAGAGATCTGAATGGTCTAATTTTCCAAAAGAGTCTCTAATGGCAGGCGTCCATTCTTCAGCAAGAAATCCTGCGATTGCTTCGCTGCAGCTTGAAGGATAAGACCTTGCTAATCCATGCTGTGACCTCTCTTGAAAAGCCATGCTTGAATCTGCCTCCCATATACTAGTGGGACATGGCAGATCTCCAGCCATCTCCCTTGATGTTATAATGGGTGGGTGGTTACAGAAGAGCGCCAGTAGTGAATCGTTCATAAAAGTCCACGTAACAACTCTTATACATTTCTCTCGGTGAACGAAATCTCCCCAGCTTTTGCCGGGCTCGTGTTTGAGACTCATCATGTTCGCTTTTCTCAACACCCCGACCAGTGTTGGAATTCTTTTACTCGCGATTCTTCGACGAGATTCGTTGTGGTTTTCACTGCCTTCGAGAGTGTTCATCAGCACTGCGGCTTGGCATATTTCAAGCATGTGTTGTGAGGTAACTGGGCTGACACCTTGACGTGACAATTCTTTAAGCTCCTTGTAGATATACTTTTCTGCCAATTCTAGAAGTGATGCATTAATGTATGATGGAGAAGATTGATTGAGGCATTGGATATAAACAGTTCCGGTCAACACTACAGCTAGTAGCAGGTGAAGTGAAACCTTTTCAGGATCAAATGTTGACCAGTGTATCGTGTCCTGATGATAGTGTCTCCGACGGAAGATAAAGACCAGGACATTCTGAAAATGAGAGGTCGTGAAGAACCCTCGTTGACAACTTTGGTCAAGTCCATCCCTGAGATGAGGCGTATTGGCAGTTGATTCTTGGAGTATGTTTGACAGAGCGACTATTTGCATCGAGAGAGCGTCGGCTGACTCGGTAGAAGGACCAAAAATGCCAGAGAATTGTAGCGGATTGTTTTCGGGATCACCATAGTCTTGGGGTTCGTCTAGAAGCATGTCCGGTAGATCAAGGAGAAGAAAGCTTGGATCGACCGTCCCTGCACCCCAAGCGATAGTCTCACGTTGCTTCCAAGAAGGCATCTCTGATGTTCTTTCAGGCTCTCGAGCAACGATAGCATCCATGGATGCATTGGTCGGATTGCTAGCTTGTAAAAGAAAAGAAAAGCTGGGACTGTCATTCTTGGAGACTTTCCTCGGTTTGGAGGAAGCTCGATGCGCAGGATCATGACATAGTGAGCTGTATATGCAATCAATGCCACGAGCTGAACACCGCTGACAGGGAAGTTCCGAGTTACAAGATGTCTTCAATCGTGAGCAGTTATCGCAAGCTCGGAGTTTTCTGCCTGGTTTGGCTTGTGGTGGAAGAGGTCGGCCTTGTCGGGCGTTGCAAGAGCGTGCATGCCGACGAGCGACATCAGCTCTGCGGAAAGACTTTTGACAGAATGGACATTCATTTTGACGAGTGGATAGTGGTTTGCTACAGACGGGACATGTCGGGGTCTGATATGGAGTCGCCATCTTCAAGGTACGTGGATGAAAGAGGTTGAAGTCGGGTCATGTGGTAATTTTCCGAGGGTGAGAAGCAATAAGTGGAGCTATGTGGTCAATTCCCGTCCCGACCTGGACCTGTAGAAAGGTCTTATATAGCCAGCTGCACTACTGATTTTGTCTTTCTTGTTTCCTTGAAAAATTCGATTTATTTACTTATACGAGATACTTCATTATGACACGGTTACAATTAGCAAGATGTGAGTAATGAGTCTAAAGAGCTAATCAACTTGGACTTACACCACCATCCAGCTATAGCTCGACCTCTCTCCGTCACATCTACTCTAACGATCCCACTGCAAGCCCGCAGAATAACAGAAACCCGATTCGAGCATCAGACGCGAAATGTTTCCTCCAAAGCGACCAAGGATATAATACCCAATGCGCACCCAGCTTCGCTCGCCGATGTTAAGCCAAACAACCTAGTCGACTATGCCCTGTACGTACTCAACTCCGTGCCACGATAAGAACAAGAAGCTAATAAGGAGTTTGTTAAAGCACGACGCTGGATAAGATAGCAAATTGGAGCCGAATTGGCTCCCTCTGGCCGCTGAGCTTTGGCCTCGCCTGTTGCAGTCTCGAAATGATGCACGTTTCGATGCCGCGCTACGACCAAGACCGTCTGGGCATCATCTTCCGCGCGTCTCCAAGACAGGCAGATGTCATGATAGTCGCAGGGACTGTCACAAACAAAATGGCCCCTGCATTGCGACAAGTCTACGATCAGATGCCTGAGCCACGTTGGGTTATCAGCATGGGATCTTGTGCTAACGGAGGAGGGTACTATTACTACAGCTATAGCATTGTTAGGGGAGTTGACCGTATCGTTCCGGTCGATATCTATGTTCCTGGCTGCCCGCCTACTTCTGAGGCTTTGATGTATGGGGTGTTTCAGCTGCAGAGGAAGATAAGAAGTCAAAGAGCTTCGAGGATGTGGTATCGAAAGAAGTAGATTATCCTGTGGGGGGACTGTAAGACTATAGAGTACATGGATATCATATTGTTACACAGAATAATGACAGAAAGTCTGCCCTGATTAAAACATGTTCGGAAAGAGAAATCGATCCAAATCAGCATAGTCGAAACTGGAAAGATCTCCAACCAAGTTATTCAGCCATCTCATATCATCCATCTCCGCAACGGGAGTCTCATCTCGCGTCTCTGGAAGGGAAACTATAGGAAAGGTTTTCAGCACATCACTCAAGGTCGATGCACACTTCTCCTTGCGCCGCTGTTGCATCAGTGTAAGCAAAGAAGCTGTGTTGAGAGCCTCTTTCGTAGCATTCGTGTTATACACAGTAGCAACGTTGCTAAGACATTGCATGGCATCCTTGAGCTGAGCGATTGATTCACCTGTATCAATGGCTAGTAGAACACAGATAATCTGAAACGGCACGTTGGCCATGTGATGCCACGGCGAGCGTGCATCTAGAATAGCTTGAGCTGCTTCAATGCCTGTTTTTGTGATAGAAAGGATCTGGTCGAGAATCTTTCCTGAGAACGTCGTGTTCATCGACTGGAGTCGACGACAGAGACATAAAGAGAGATTGGTCTGCGCCATAATCGATGGCGGAACAGAATGAGTTCGGCTTAAGACAGTTGACAGCGAGGCCTCAAGCTCGGAAACGTCTTGAGTCTTATTTGGATCAAGGTCTGTTGAGTATGGGAGCAATTCCATGAGTTCATGGGTATAGTCTCCTTCTCTCGAACACGGCATCTCTAGTGTTGAATTACATAGGATGGTTCTAGACCGGCCCATGTCAAATGAAATCCAAATGTTAAGGTGCTCAGCGACAGCGAAGAGTCGTCTCCGAAGCTCGGCATCGACCTTTTCTTCTGTTACTGGAAGGACTGATTCTTGGGATGGTTCACAATGCAGGCCTGCTGCTTCCAGCATGTGCATAAGGATTGAACTCGCCATCCATGCTGTATGTGGCGTTCCTGCTATTCTCAGGTATACAACCCGAAGAAGCCAGCCAGTGACACTAGCAGCCGACGGGTCATCAGACATCTTCTGCTCAAGGATAAAACGTGCTGTTTCTATCAAGTCAAGTTCCACTGGTGGAGGCTCAACTTGTGAGAACAAGCACCCGATAGCCGCTATGCCGCAGAGGATAGAATCTTGAGACTGATCGTATATATATCCGGACCACCTGCCTTGGATGGTCTGCGAGATATCGTTCCGATCAACGAACCCATAAATTGGGTCCATCTTTTGAAAGTAAACGGCACTCAGACTCTCCATGTCTTCTTTGGATAGTAGATCTGTAATTGGTCGCGAAACAGGAACATGGGAAGACTTCCGCGCTCCAAGAAAGGCATTCCAAGAAAAGGTGTGCATCCTGGGCGCATTCTTGGGGTCCAACCTCAACGCCAACCTTCTAAGAAATGCAGCCCCAGAATTCGCCTCCAGCGACTGTAAATGTCTTGGTGATGTAGCATGATCACTCCTAGAAGGTCTAGAGTCTTTCTCAGTGTGAACAGGAGGTGAAGGAAGAAGAGAAGCCTCATGGGCCTTCCTCTTCTTGTTGGAAGATGTCTTGTAGGTGCACTCGTACTCAAAGCGGACACAGGCTCCGCAGGGCTGGGCGCCGTCGCATTTCCGTTTTAAATCCCGGCATGTTTCACAGGCGAGTCTTGAACGCTTACGGCCTTGAGAAGTGGACATGTTTGTTATTGGAATGGGGATGAAGGGATTGTGATGTGTAAGGGGTTGAATGCATGTGAAGTGAAGCTGCGAGGGTCGGTTCTTACGGGCCGAGCGGGTATCTCGGCTATCGCGGGAATAGCGGCAATAACGGTGTAAGTCATTGAAGCTCGACGCAGTTTGAGGGTGCTAACTAAACTTATCCTAACGGCAATAGACCTACCTCGGTATTTTTATTCTTGGAACTCAGGCCAGAGAACTCACTTTGGTTGCTGCTATCTGATCTTCTCCCCATGTTACTCAACCAAGACAGAGATTCGGTCTCTGCAGCCGAGACATTGGCCGATATTGAAAACCAAGCCCAACAAAATACAGTCGAAAAGTCATCGACACAGAATGAACCACCTGACGGAGGCTTCAATGCTTGGATACAGGCTCTTCTTGCCCATATCGTTTTCTTCAACACCTGGGGCGTGGCAAACGGCTTCGGAATCTTCCAACAATACTACACCCAAACCCTCGGGGAAAGTCAATCCACGATATCCTGGATAGGAAGCGTGCAAGTGTTTTTTCTATTTTCAGTCGGAGTCATAGCCGGCAGACTGACCGATGCCGGCCACTTTCGAATTATCTTCCCGATCGGGGTCTTCTTGCAAGTCTTTGGACTCTTCATGACTTCGTTATGCACGACGTTCTGGCAGATATTCCTCGCTCAAGCTGTTTGCCTAGGAATTGGCAATGGATTTACCTTCTGTCCGGCTCTAGCCGTTTTGTCGCAGTACTTCAAGAAGTATAGGGCTTTTGCTGTCGGACTGGCAGCCGCTGGTGCAGCAGTTGGTGGTTTAGTATACCCGGTTTTGGTCAACTGGCTCATCTTCCACGACAACGTCGGCTTCCCCTGGACTATCAGAAGTATGGGGTTTATCATGCTTGCTACATATATCCCTTGCCTTATATGGCTCAAGCCTCGACTACTACCTCATCCCAGCGGTCCATGGATCGATACAACAGCTTTTAGGGAACTGTCCTTTATCTTCTTTACCATGAGCATGTTTCTTAACTTCTGGGGCCTCTATTTTGCGTTCTTCTATCTCGGAACCTTTTCTCGCGATCGAGCGGGCATTTCTGAACCCATCTATCTTCTCATGATATTAAACGGTGTTGGGATATTCGGCCGTATCCTGCCCAACATCATTGCGGATAAGTGGACAGGACCCCTCAACATACTCATTCCTCTAAGCATATCCTCTAGTTTGTTGGTCTACTGTTGGGCGGCTATAGAAACAGCTGCTGGGCTTTATGTCTTCGCTGTGATCTACGGTTTTATCGCTGCAGCATTGCAAGCTCTGTTTCCAGCTGTTGCGACGCAAATGGCACCTGATCCAAGAAAGACAGGGACAAGGGTTGGAATGATATTAGGCATTGTTAGTATTGCAAGTCTGACTGGCCCTTTTATCTGCGGCGAGCTTATCAAAGCTGGAAACGGTAATTACCTTGGGGCTCAGATGTTTGCTGGTTCTTCAATACTCCTCGGCGCGCTTATGGCAGTGGCGTGTCGAATCGCCAAGACCGGTCTTGTGCTCAAGGCCAAGTCATAGATAGAAAGGTTGCACATAAATTTTGTACATAAGCAATAAGAGATGTATTGAAATTCGCCACAACATTCAAGCAGCAGGAGTAGCTTCCTTTACCACCTCTTCATTCTGTCCCTTCTTCTTATTCTTCTTCTTCGAAAACTTCGGAAATCGGACTCGTATACTGAACCGAGAGCCAAATCTAGCAACACTCCTCCTTATCCTAGCTCCCTCTTCTGCAACGGTAGTGGTACCGATAGGAAGTTGGTTCTGAGGAGTATTCTGCGGCATGGGTGCAGGCTCCGCATTACGCCATGTTTCCGACCACTCTTGGTCAGAAATTTCCAGCATCTCTCTAAACGCTGTTCCCTCTAGCTCTGTTTTTATGCGCTTCTGCAGAGGCGATACCGTGCTGCATAGGCGAACAACTCGCTCCCAAAACTTGGCCTCCTCCTCATTTTGAAAGATGTAGTCGTCGCCTTCGTTGGTCCACGAGATGGTAAAGATCATCTTAATAGCCTTTTTTTGGTCGTAGATGAAGGTGCAACTATCTGTGTCCTGAATACTTTTATTCAAAGACATGGAGTATAAGTGGGCGTAATTGGTATGTGAGAATTGGAGAGCTAGTGTTGATGGTAAGGTCGTCTCATGACTTATGATACACCTGGCGTATGCGTATCTCATGGTTTGAACTTTGATGCGGCGACTTTGAACTTGTTTAGTCAGACAATTCCGCTATGTGTTGGTTAAATTAAGCGCATATAAATGAAAACATGCAAGGAGAGAACAGGAAACAGATAAGAGGACCATTTGAAATGATGCTGCAATTCTCACTAAGTATGTACTTGCCGTTCAGCCGTCTGCGGCCTCTCTAGCAGCCAGCATACGGGGATAGCATCCCCCTCATAAGCCAAAAGGTGGTGCTTTCATCGTGTTCTAGCCCCAATAGCGCTCTGTGGTGACATCCTGTGGCGTCCGATGATTGCCAGACTAAGTAAAGCCCCTCTAGGACTTCTAATGTGCAAAAGCATTCGAGAATGAAGGTAAATAAGGAGTATAGAACTACACTTTTAGAGAAACCTGTTTAATTGATCATAGAAAGTCTATTCAGGCCGTTTCTCCCTATTCGCTTATAAATTCATGTCTTCTGCGAACTTGAGGCCCTCAAGCTCTGCAATCTTACCCTGAGTAACTTTGTGGCCAGGTGAAGTTCAGCTTTCAGCCACAATGCCCAAATGCGCATAACGAGAATGCGCTGTAACACACCTGCGGCTGGGAACTAGCGAAAACCAAAAGCAAGCTATGTTACCCTGGGTAGTTTAGCCAGATGCGAGCCTAGATCTTGTGACTCGGTATTTCTACATTGAATTCAGCACCTGATATCTCAACCACTGCTTTTTGCCTGCTCCTTGAAGTCTAAACCGAGTGGTATGAATCACTAATATGGGCTGCTTCGGCGCTGAAGATGACGCGAATCGGATAGACGAGGAGACTGCAGTCCAAGGCGTACAAGTTGATTTTAGAGATGATCGCTGGATTATAGACCTTGAACTCGATAACATCATCAGCAACATATCAGAGATCGAGAGCTGGACAACTTCATTTCGTGGGGCGTTTCAGGGCACCAATGACAATGGAAAACTCCCAAACGAACTAGGTAAAGTATGAAATTAACTTCCTACATTTCAAGAGAGCGACGTTGACGGAAGGGCCAGAGTTTTCGCATCAACTTTGCTGTTCTCCAGCGAATACAATTGAAGCAGCTCCGCACCAAACTCGCCAAGCATGCAGTCTCTCTAAGATTCGAAGCAGGTGAGCCTCAAGGGTGGCAGGAGACACTTAAAGACTATAGTAAGATGACTGTTGTTTTGCTTATACGTCGACCGAAAATGTGCTAATATTGAATTTTACAGTACAAGCACTCCAAAACTATGAATACATGGAAAAACGAAGTCTGCAACCTGAAGATCCGTTCTACATGAGCGGCGAGAAGTATCAAGATCGCAAACTCCTTGAAGCCATTCTCGGGGACAAAGTGAACAGTTTCAACGGACAACCGGTGTTTCCTGCTATCGGACACTGGCAAAAGGGACCCGAGGAATCGAGATCTGTTCGAGATACAAGACAAGACAACTATAAGCGGAACTGGACAGTAGGTCTTCACCAAAGACTTGCTGTGGCCGCCGTCGGTGGGATATTTCTCATGGCTCCTATGTGGTTGATGGTCTTGCATAATACTCTCTACACAGCTTTGGTTTCGACGACGGTGTTTGTTACTGTGTTTGGATTGATGGCTGCGAGATATCTCACGAGTTTGATGGATGTTATGTCGAGTACAGCGGCTTATGCTGCTGTATTGGTTGTTTTTGTTGGACTGATCACTGAGCTGCACGATGGCTGAGACGAAGGAGAAGATAAAGCGTTTATTCAAGAAGCAATTCAGACGGCCTTCAGGAACCAGCTTCGCATTTTCGTTATTTTCTAGTCGGAAAGCTTGGATTTTAAAGAATCTTACAGAGTTTACGCCTCAAGTAGATGAGTACGCAGCAAATCATCTAGCACCTTGCCAACAGCCAGAACCTTCTCCTCCTCTAAAACCCTCCCTACGATCTGTATATCCACAGGAAGATGATGCTTGACCATCTCTTGCATATTATCCTCCCAAAGGCGGGTATTCCACTCATCCAACTCATTCCTCGGCTCGTGATCCCACAATGCATCAAGATCCCTGGCTTCAACTTTTCCTCCCGGAATGACCAAAGCCGTGTAATCCAAAAGATTCCAGACCTTGGTGTATCCCACCCATTTGACAGTGTTGTGAGGCACAGCTGCATGCGGTAGAGCCGGCATTATAATGGCATCCACGATCCTGCCCTTCTTTGAGTGGGTGTTGTTCCACTTCTCGAGATATGCTTGCTGAAGTTCTCGCTTCCGTTTGTTGAGTTGCCAATAATCATAAACCGATATAGGCTTTCCCCTGTTCACAAGCCTCTCCACGCTTGGGATAAAAGGCTCGCCTCCTGCCTCGACATCACGGCGAATGTCTTCACCTCCATCAACTGTGAAATAGGCATCCATAACCTCTATGCACTCTGCGTGCAAGTCAGGCTTCCACATTACAAGCTCATGACCATCAGCCGCAAGGGCAGCTGCAGCTTTTGCGAGAACCCTTACGATACTAGGGTGAGGCTTCACAACGCCGTCGTCGTACAATACACCGATTGTTAACTTGCTGTTCACGGTCATGTCATATTCAGACTGTCGCCATGGGATTGGCACGCAACGACAGTCTTGTTTCCAGGGTTCTTGAAGCGTGATACCTTTCGTGAGATGGTAAATGGTCGAAAGGGAGCGTGCCAAGGGACCGATGGAAGACGGGACATGCTCTTGTCCATCGGTTGAGACGGGCACTCCTCCATATGGCAATCTCGAGCTCTGCATCATGTCAGCGATATTCAGAAGGTTGTGAGTCAACTCACGCTTGGCTTGAAACCATATAAACCCATCATAGAAGCTGGCATGCGGATGCTACCACCCAAATCTGATCCGAACCCTCCGAGACTCCCGTGAGAGTAAATCAACGCTGACTCCCCACCTGAGGATCCTCCAGGCGTATATCCGGGAATGATCGGGTTTTCGGTCAACCCCCAGAGAGGATTGTCGGTTTCAGCCCACTTCTCAATATTAGTATAATCTGAAATTGTGCCTGTTATCAGTCTTACCATGATGCTCTGTGGGAGATTCGTTTTGCAAATGATGACGGCGCCTAGCTTCTTCAAGATCTTTACTAGGACGGCATCATCGTTGGCTGGCTTGAACGCCTTGCTTGTGTAGCCGAGAGTAGTGTCGTAGCATTTTACATTGAACTGGTCCTTCAGACTTATTGGAACTCCATGCAAAGGTCCTTTTGTTTTCTTTTCTTCGGCATAATACTCATCAAGCTCTTGGGCCTGCTCTAGAGCATCATCGAAGAGGATTTCGGTCAGGCTAGTAAATCATCAGACTTTGGTAGCAGCAAGAGACTACAATGAGGCTCACCAGTTTGTCTGTTGGTAATGTTAGCTACCTATGTATAGAGTTTACCAAATTGTCATAGATTCTACCTTGTTATGCGCCTCGATGGCTCTGTCACATGATATGTTAGTATATATCTCTCACGGGAGTTCAACGATTGACTTTCCGTGTTATATAAGCCAGTGCTACGTCTTCACTTCTGAGCTTTCCACTCGAAATCTTATCGGCCAAGATAGTGATATCATCGACTTCGGTGATGGCGTTGTATGCATCCCGATGGTCCTCTCTGTCTGGTAGGTTCTTGGTGACAAAAGCAGAGATGGCACGGGTCCGTTGCCGTCGCTTCTCTGCGACAACCTGTTCCCAGATTTTTGTCTCCATAGCGATCTGAAGATCTAGCGATAAGGGGAGCTAGGGAGGTCGCGTATCTAACTGTCAAGGTTTAGAGGCTGTTGCGAAAGTTGGAAGTGGTCGAATAACCCCGCATATACCCGCACCCGTTACCCGCCGTCCGCTGCTTATGAAGATTTTCGGGTGCAACATCCGAAATGCAAGTGATGGATGCTTGGCATATAACTACCTACGCTATGTTTATCGGAAAAACGCCTACAGTCATGCTCGAGGACTGGATATTCTTCCTGGGTTCTAGTTCTTGGCGTTACCCAAATAGAAACCCTCTGTTTCCTATAGAGGTATGATCTGATAATAAAGTTTGCCTTAAAGCCGAGCTGTCATAAGACATGGATATCCCGGAACCTCTGATACAACTCTGGACGCGACCGCCAGTCAAGGTGATATCAAGTGACTCAATCTGCCTGAATTGCTCACCCATTCAGTTTTCGCCAGGTTCCTCAGCCTCAGAGTTTTGGCACCGTAAGCTCGGGCTAACTTCAGCTGAAACAACACCTAGAGGTGCTCCTGTCTATGATGTCATTGGCTGGTTTGGCGATGCCGCATATCCGTCGTGTTGCGTATGAGTCTTTGAAGGATTTATTGCGTGCCAAAGGAAGTGTATAAGAAGGCCACGATTTCTTCATCTTCACATGAGAAAGCTTCGCGCTCTTGGAAACGACTTTCTTTTCTCTTTATAATCTACTACAACCTTTGCAGAATAAACACCCAAATTTATGTGGATGTGAAAACTTCTTCGAGAATACCGCAGCTTCTGCAAATTCTTTTAACACTTATAACTGACCCTAATGGCGCCACTGAAAGTGTTGATATGCGGAGGCGGCTGTGCCGGACCAGCCTTGGCCTTCTGGCTCACCCGTCTCGGTCATCACGTAACTATCGTCGAGCGGTTCCCAGCCCTTCGCGCAACTGGTGCACAAATCGACTTCAGGGAACAAGGCATTGCGACTCTCAAAGTAATGGGTATCATAGACGAGATACGCGCCAAGCTAGTTGACGAAGCAGGCGTTGCTTTTGTCGACACGAATGGAAAGATCTTGGGAACAGTGCTCGCCAATACATCAGGCAAAGGCGCCCAGTCCATAACTTCTGAGTTTGAAATCATGAGAGGTGATGTTGTAAGAATTCTATACGATGCAACGAAGAATGATGTAAAG